ACTCACACCCACTGTGGACTGTGACACCCTGCACGCCCTCCGTCTCCATCTTCTTCACCCTACCTAACCCAGTCTACTCCCCTCACCCTACTCCTCCTTCTACTCCTCCTCATCCATCCTGTCCTCATCCTCCTGCCCAACCTGACCTGCTCGCTCTCTCCTCCTTCAGTCATCCATCATCCACTTTGCGCCAGGCTTCGCCTTAGTCCAGTCCTTATTATTCTTCGTGCCGCCCTCCGAGCCACGCTTTGCGCTCCTTTCTCTCTTCTTCTTTTCCTCCAGTTCTCTCCGTTTACCCTGTCAAACATCGACATATCAAGGTCTCAAAACTGTGCGGTTCCTCTGTTCCGTACTCATTGCCACTACCGTACTCGAAATCTCTCAGCTGGTACATACGACCGTCACCAACCCGCCCCTCCACAGATATCAATTCGTCGCCTCGCCCCGCCCTGCCCCGAATAACAGTATTTATCCATTCGGTGCCCTCTCGCTTCTCGTTTGACATTGACACCCACTTCTGTCTACTCTTGATTCAATTCAAGTCAATGGAGGCTTGTGCTTGTCATCGAGCGCACAAGTAACTGGTCGATTGCATTACGCCCACTGTCCACCATCCTCAGCACGGCTGCGTCAGCACCCGACCGCAGTAAAGCGACACTCAAACAAGCTTCCCGCAGCGAACGTCATCATCAATTGGGTCACAAATCCCCCACTGACGGCTCTCGCTCCTCCCAACACAATCAACCAAGTGCTGGTCAATTAAATCTCTTTCAAAAGCAGTCAGACGCTTAAAGCAAAAAAAAAATTGCTTTTTCAGTCCCGTCTTCAGCCCTGAACACGCAATTGTTCCTCCGCTGTCCATCGGCTTCCCTTACACCCGAAATACCCCAACTCCGATATCTCCATACTCCGCCTCGCCACCAACAACAACATATAAGATGGCTGACAAACCCAACCATACCGCCGCTCCGCAACCTACAAGAACCTTTGAATCAAATCACACTCCCCAAACCCCTTTCAAGTTCTCTAGGATGCAATCATCTTCATCGACCTCAATCTCACAAGCAATGGAGCCCAACTACCACATGACGCCGCATCAAGCGACAACGATGGCTCGAGAGCCGAAGAGGACTTTCGACATTAGCAATCTGATGTCTCCTCCAGAGCCGGTTCCATATGACAGCTTCAGCCAAGGTCAGCAAAATACGGTACAGACTGCATCGGGTGCTTCTCAAGCCAATGAATCATCCAAGCCCCACATGCCCATGTCGCCTCCAGTCTCGCCTTACATCACAGAGTCCAGCAACATAAACATTCCTGGAACACCTGCAAAAGATCCGATCTTATACCCTCGCGAAGATGCAGCTTCAAGTCCGACACAGCCACCTCTATTTCCCAGCACCGAATCCATCGAACACAGACGCATTGTCGACGAGCACATCGTTACGCGACCTCCTGGCCTATTCCGCGAGGGTTCGCCTCCTCTCAGAGAAGACTATGAATTAGCTCTGCAACTCAAGTCGCAGGTCATGAGACTATTTGCGAACAAGAGGAAGTCTTGGTACGAGAAGGAGAGGGATCAGGTTAGAGCCGACCGGAAGCTGAACCACGCCCGTTGGAACAGCGTTGTGCGATATCAGACTATCGCCCCAGCCAAGTCCGCACCCGTCAAGGCCGCCAAACCAGCAGTCAGCAAGCCTAGGATTTCGTTATCCTCAAACTCCAAGCCTGAACGTGTTGTCAAGGCTCAGGCTCCTCGGCCCATCCGCAACAGCCCCCCGACTCGCCATGCTCGCCGCGTCAGTTCGACTCCGGACCCTGCTCGTCGTATCGTGGCACCGAACAGAGAGGACCGCGACTTTGCTTCTCTTCCCGACTACTGTCCTCCGACTTCTTCGCTGCCAGACAAACCCAACTGTTTGAAGGTAGACTGGAAAGGCGCCCCCATCGACCTCAGCGACGACGCCAACGTTCACTTACTTCACCCCGACGAGGTCAGCCTTGCTGCAAACCTTCGACTTGACTGCGCCACCTATCTCACATCCAAGCGACGCATTTTCGTCCGTCGGGTCGAGTGTGCAAAGGTTAGCAAGGAGTTCCGAAAGACGGACGCTCAGCAGGCCTGTAAGATTGATGTCAACAAAGCTTCCAAGCTTTGGACAGCTTTCGACAAAGTCGGTTGGCTCGACCTCAAGTGGACGGCCAAGTTTCTCTGAACATTGCTCCAAGCACCTTGCTCTTCAGAACCATGCGTCATCTGGCATGATGCATGGTGTTTGACCCTGGTATACCTATACTTACCAACGTCACGTTTCGGAACTATTTCCACGACGCCACTCTTGCGATGACTTGAATAGACTTACGACATACGACACATACGAAGAGCTCAAGTTATCCCCTCGTTCTTTTTCCTTTTGGGAGCATTTCTTTGCATACAGCGATTTAGGTTAGGATTGGTTTCTGAATCCGGATTTCCTACTTCCAGTATCGTGGGACATGGTCCTTCGCTTTTCTTTTGTCCAGCGAGAGCGGAATCCAGGTTTCATTAGGTCTTGATATTTCGGGTCTGTTTCATCACACACGCGGCATCACATCACGGACACAGCCATTTACTACATCAGAGCATTAGGGATAACTACCATGATACCCGGAGTGCGACAGAAATCTGATCACCCCAGTCTTGTCACCCCACTCCATCACACTTTCCTTTCTCTGGTTTTGCATTTGGGTCATTTGGTCATCATACCCCCTTTCCATCAGTTTTGGTTCAAGGTCAATTGGTTTCGGGTCAGGGCAGATTACGTTTGCGGCTGTTGTATCAGCACATGGCTAAGTCGCTGAGATAGCCTGAAGATTGGCTATGGCTGCGTTATTGTCGGGTGGAACATGGTGGCGGTATGGCAGCTATTTCTCTAGTAGGAGGAATGCACGGTCTCAGGTTCAATCAGGACATGATATTTTGTCAAGTATCTCACTGTGTGATAACCGTCAATGACCACTCACCAGGGTTGTCGGGTAATCTCTAGCGAACTGAGTATAGCAAACTTATACAAGATATTTTGTGACCAAGAAAAAAATTCAATAATACCAATCCTGCGACTATCGCAGCCTGTGAAGTTGTGATGGTGCTGGTAACAGATTATTGAGGATCCTAGCTCAGCCCTATGAGATGGACATGTACCAAAGTTGTTTTCTTCCCCGTTTTCCCTTCCCTCTTTGGAGGGGCGTGTCAAGACTAGGTACGGGGTTCTGTTGATCGACGCGGGGGTGGGGGGGGATTGAACGTTCGGATCGAGCCAGCGCAGGTGTCAGTTGCTGCACCGTCATGCTAGGGCGACACGGCGGTTGGGCGGAAGGGAAGCTTGGCCGGCCCCCAGGAGTGCCGAGGGCGGTCGACAGGTTCGTATATCTCTGCCTCAATTGCCTGAGGCACATCACATCCCCGCAGCATCGCTCATCTTGTTCATTTGGCAGCACTAGGGACCATTCACTCATCTTCGCATTTCCTCCCCCGGTCGAATGTCTGTTGAAGGCAATTCGGCCTATCGAGCTTTGTCGCCTCGCCAATATTGTTGTTGAGAATGCTTTATGGCGGTTGACTGCAGTCTTCTTGTCTAGTAGACGACGTGGCCGGCCCAGGTTCGTCCCGACTCACTCGCATCTTCTATCGAAAGATGAACACCACCCAAATCTCCCGGTGATGAGCATTCAAATCCGCCTGGGATATTGATTGGTCTGCAAGATTGTAGATGTTCCACGAGCATACTCACTCGTCTCCTCTTGTCGCTGTTACGGGACGAGAATGATGGGATGAGTAATGGCATTGACCACTCAAACGGCGCAATTGATTACGCTCGGGTTGAGGAAGATCAATGACTATGGCACCTGGCTTAAACTCCATCTGGGACCAAATTCCTGACAGAAACGGTGAGAAACGAGGTATGTGCCGAATCTTGTTCTCACGAAAGCTCGAGACCACGATGCCACGAGGAAAAGCTAGATATACATGTTGTGCAGTGAGAAACGTGCAGATCCCATTCCCTGACCTCACCTCGAGTCGAGTCGACCCAATTTTGACTCGAAGCGTTTGGCAAATTGGCAAAGCCGTCTAAAGAAAAAGAGAGTGATAATCCCCTGGCCGTCACTGCCTCCATTCCCGCTTCGTGCCAATGCAAGAAAATTTTCGCTTCCGCCTTCCGGGGGGGGGCCTAGGATTGCTGCCGTAGCCCGCAGCGGGTGTGGCCCCTACCATCCCAGTTGCCTCGTGCTTGTTGGACAGGTCTGTTCAAATGAGGAGGGGGGTGTGCAGTTAGGTAGATGTAAGTGCGTCCGTCTCTTTCAACTTATTACCGTGGTACTGGTGTCGAAGGAAGGGGGCCTCATGGCCTGAGGCAAGAGGATTGAAGGTCGCTTCCATTCCTCTCGCAATCCACGATAAGCTATCGATAAGACGGATGGGAAACATTAGGTTGCTGGAAACAACACCTTAAACGTTCGAGGGTCTGGCCTCTCTCTTTACACAGTCTTTTGTTAATGAACGGTAACTCGGGCCGCAAAACGCTGCGCCATGATGTCGGTTGCCTCCTGGCGATTTTTGACGCCCACCCATTGTTTCGATGGCGAGCACGGTCTCGGGGTTGAAGACGGATTGGTTGTGTGCCATGTCCATGGAGATGGCTCCGCGTTGACCTCGCTGGTGACGTCTAATTCTGGATAATTTACTCGGCCACACTTGACTCGTCTCTAACTTTGACGCAGTTCCGTATACGTCGAGAAGCCTCAGCTTAGGTTAAGGTATTGGAATCTGTTATGTTATGCTCTCTCCATACTCCAGGCTAAGCTAGCTACTGCCTGGATCTATGATCTGCCCTCGTGACTTTGCCTTGCTCTTGCAAGGATCGGTTTTCAGCCAGCATCGTACGCCATGTGCAATTTGAATCCTGTGGGTGTTCTCCTGGATTTCCATTTCTTGCCCCGAGGCGTCCTCTCAGCCCACCACCTTAAATGTCACTCAGGTCTATGAGATCTTCCTGCGCCAATGGACTCGAGATGCTCGTTGCGATGGAAAGCTCAGAAATAGTCCGCGCGTTGCCATCGGTGAGCGTGGCACTGACCGCGAGCTCGCAAGAGCCTCTAGGTACCAGATCCGGTTAGCATTCTTCGTCAAAAGGCTTGGGACCAACGTACCCGTGGCACTTTTGGCCGCATGTTGCTCCTTGTGCACCTGTTGGTCGCCCGCAGCGCATACTGCAGCCTCCTTTGCCCACAAGTCTTGCCCAGTCACCAGGCTGCCGCACGCGAATCTCACTCTCGTGCGCTTTGCAAAAGACGGGTATGTAGTCCGCGGGCGGAGCCTCCATCCTGTCCAGGACCTCGCTCCAGATGGGCCGAGCTGACGATGCCAGCAGATTCTGCATGTCGCCGAGGATGACCAGCAAGTGTCGAGGACGGCTGAGGGCGACGATGGCGCGTCTCAGGTCGTTGAGGAAGCCCGAGTCCGGCTTTGTACGGTCTTCCGGGCTTCGGGTGATGGAGATGAGGATGACGCGGTTCTCCCTGCCCTGGTACCCGTCCACTGTCTGGACCTCAGGCACGAGGCGGCCGGCGCCGGTAGTTTGGCGGAAGCTGCTTTCGATGCAGGCCTTTTGTCCGCTGTAGAAGGTCAGGATGGTGATTTCTGACGGGCTTGTGCCGTTGGACGCCAGGTGGTTGTATAGCCCGACAATCATGTCGGCCTCGAAAGTATTGACTTTGCTGCAGTACCAGTCAGATGACTCGGGCCGTTGATGGTTGAACCATAGCACGCTCTTCAAGCCCATGCCCGGGACCGCTTCCCGGTCCAATGTCGAAGGGTGGTCTACCAGGAGAGGATACCAGGCGCTCAGCAGCTTGCGAATGTCGGGCGCCATACGTCTCTGCACCTGGGAGTGGAATGATCCAGGCCGCGCTCCACGAGCCTCTGGAACAGAGATAAATTGAGGTGAAATGGGGGTTTGCTGAGCTCCAGGCAGTCGGCATGGGGCGCCAGCTGCATGGGGTCACCGACGAGGATGATTTGCTCCAGGGAGGGGAATAGCGCGGCGGCGATGTTTGCTTCGCGGGTCTCGGCGGCTTCTTCGACCATCATGACGCGCGGCCGGAGTGCGGCGATGAGCCTGCGGTACTTTGTGAGGCCTGTTGTCGTGCAGCCTATGATGCAGGCCTTTGACTCGCGGACTGCGGTGATGTCTTCTTGCCAGCGGGCCACCTTGAGCTTCTTGACGACGTTGTCGAGCTGTTTGAAGATTGAGGAGAGGGCTAGCTTGGTTGATGTGATGTATCGACGTTCGAGGTAGTGGTATACCATGCCGCGATACTTGGGCGCAATCGACCAGATGTTTCCATTTTTCGCGAGCAGCTCTTGCGCCAGCTTGTGGTTGAGAGCAACGCCTTTCGAGCATTTGATGCTATTCCGGCGCGCAACAAAAATGGGCTTGCCCGACAACTGCTCTTTCTTGTTGTCGGCTGAACCCTTCTCGCTGATCCCGGGCCCTGACGCTGCTTCATCATCGTCGATGCCGTCGCTGAGAGGAACGTGAACGCTCCTATGAGGTATCTTGGCGAGCAACTGGTCACCGAGCCACGATCGGAGCGGGTGTTGGAATTCCTCTCCGGCGATGGATCTGACGTCGCCGTCCCAGCACTTCACGACGGAGGCATGCTGCTCCGCGCTGATCAAACCTACCTCGTGGAAGTGCTCTGGTAGAATCAGATGCTGATGAGCGGGAGGGAAACAGCGCTGGAGGAGAAGCTTCGCCTGCGACCTGAGGGAGACGAGGCGTTTCTCGAGCGCGCTCTTGCTCCAAGCCTTGCCGCGGGATCGCATGCGGAGGTTGAAGAGCGTCCGACTGACAATGACCTGGTCCTTAGCCTGGCCGCCGAGGCGTACAAAGTCCACGCCGAGCTGGTGGCATCTGACGAGGAGCTCGTCGACCGTGTCGTTTTTTTGGGCGGTGACAATGATGGGCACGTTGGGACGTTGTGTGCTGAGCAGGACCTTGAGCGCGGCCATGGACGTGTGCGTCTTGCCTGTTCCGGGGGGGCCTTGAACTATGGCGAGCTCCTTCGTTATCATGCGTTGGAGGGCTTGTAGCTGGGATTGATCTAGTCTTGTCTTCGACTGGATGTGATTGGGTATGTCGCCCTGGATGGGGATGTGTATGGGCACTGGGCGTTGAAGACCGTCGTGGAGTGCTGAGATGTCCAATGTGGTGGACGATGGTGGCAGAGAACTAGGCATGCCGACCGTATTCAGCTGGCCGATGAAGTACTTGTCAAATGGCGAACTGCGAAACACATCAGCTCAATGCTACTTCTATGGTTTTTTGAGGAACATGTCTTACTCGTCTTCTGCCGTCTGCTTGAGACCCTCCAAAACATGTCGAACGGCTTCAAAGTAGTTTGAGCGAGCTTCGACCATGACGTACTCTTGATCCGGCTCCATGAAGCCGGCAGTGATACTGGGATCGGTAAATTCAAGATCCAAAGGAGGAGGCGCCGTCGAATTGCCGGCGAATTCATCGTAACGACCCGTCACCACTGCCACGATACACTGTGTTCCGAAGTGGTCCGAAGCGGGAGACAGGGCAACTATTGTGCCTGGAACCACACGCTGAGATGCGGGCCAGTTGATGAGTTGCCGTGCGCGGACCGCAGAGAAGGTGATGCGGACCATGACCCCGAGGCGTATGATGTTGACTCCGCGGACAAAGACCTTTCGTCATCTTCTCTTAGATCCTATCCCGTACTGGTTGCGAACGCTTCTAGATTACTTACATCGGTATATATGCACGTCTCGGTACTCTCTGTCATCTCGGGAGCAGACTTGTATTCTTGAACGGCTCTACGGAGGGGTTCAGTGCCCTCGAAGCGTAAGAGGTCGTACTGGGCCCGGAGATACGCGCTTTTCGTTGGGTAGACAGCGTTGAGGCCGTAGTTCTTTGGGAGGGTGCAGGATTCTTTCATAATCTCCTTAGCCCGGGGCAGTTCGGGTGTGTCACGCCAACTCATCTCGGCATGTAGGTGGGTATGAGATGACGTGTTCGCGGTCTCGCGGTCAGGAGGATGTTTCCCGGACATGATTAAGTACAGGGTCGGAGGGCAGGTCAGAATGCTGAGACTATAGGGTGAGAAAAGGAGTCGCTTGGTTGCGAGATTGAGGAAAGAAAGTTCTCCTGAGCTCCAGACAAGGTGCAACACTTGCTGTTACATGAGGAATACATACAAGTTTCAATGAAGACTCTTAAACACGTACCATATTCGGGAGCCAGACCTGATATCTAACTTGAACCCCATGTATCCATGTTAACATGAAGAGGGTGACTCACCAAACATTAGCATAACAATCCGCCACGAAGTTGAGTTAGTTATTACGTGCGACTATTTCAGGGAAAAGGTAACGTAAAGATTGCAAGGAAAAGACTTTTGACTAGCTAGCTTGTTGAGGGCGGTAAACTACATTATCTCAAGCGTTTGCAGGACAACGCAGGCTTGGCAAGAGGCTGATGCATCGACGGCTTCCTACATCATTATTTTGCAAAACCACCAAGCGAAGGCACAAACGATGCGAAATCCAGAGTAGCAAACATATAATACTCTTGCTGAACAAGATATATACCCATAACATGTTAGGAAGGGCCCCAACATGGAGGCTGCAACGAGTTTGCTGAAAACGTAGCGAGGCACAAGTCCATGTTGAAAGCAACAGCTGGAGGAGGTATGGGCCGGGCTCCATTTTTGGAAACTGGTCGCGACATTTTTGCTGGAGCGAGGAGGGAAATGAATGGTTATGGAAAGAAACAAAAAATCATTGTCCGTTGCTTTGATGCAGCTTGGTCGTGTTAATGAACACAGTGGACTGGAAACGACCTCATCATGCTCGGGCACTTATCGAGGCTGGAATCTTCTGGCAGAGTTTGCGACTCATCTCAGAGAAACATTGAAAGGGAGGTTCAAGAAGGAGTGTCGTTGGGAGATTGGTGGGAGACCGATAACATAATCCGGCGGATCCTCAGCCGGGCGGCCCCGAAGTTCTGCCGTCACGGTCTGCCCGGCCGAATCAACCGGCTGCTGCTTCCGCTCCGGAGCTCTTTCGTAAGGGATACGCCGGTACTGGTCCAGGGGATGCTAGCGCGACTGGGCTTGGTAACCTTGTCGTCTCCCCGCCGCAGGGTGAACTGGGCATACAGCACCAGGGCGGCCCCACCAAGCTGAGCTTCTGAGGTGCTCCAACCCAGCACGTCGTCGCGACCGCAGCTTTCGCGACAATTCCATGCGTAACGAACATCAGTAACGTCCACCAATCACTCATCTTCTACAACCCATTGCCGCCAACTTGGTTAAAATAACCTCTTTTAATACTTGGCATAGAACGGTAATTTTCACACTACGAAATCTCAATATACATATTCAATCGCAAACGAACCCAACCGCTTCTCCGACCCTCGCGCTGCCCTGCCGACGCCGCGGACTTTCCGATCGCGCGACCCTCCTGCGTTCTGCTTGCGACCTAATAACTGTGCATTGTTCGCATTCCTATACACCGAAGCTTCAAAATGGATGACGATGATAGAGGTATGTCTCGGAGCCCTGTAGTTTCTAGAAACCCGCTGACCTGCCCGGCAAACCAGACTCAAACGCGAGCTCCGACAATGACCAAAACGATCAGAACGACCAGGACGAGGTCATGGAGGACGTAGACGATGCAGAAGGGGATATGGAGAATGAGGAGGAAGATAACGAAGACGACCAGGAAGATAACGACCGCGAAGAAACGGGTGATGATGCGCAAGAGAAGGGCGACGACGCAGCTGCAAGAGATGCAAGAGTGCCTTCTAGAGCCGGTTCGGCCGGCGCGGGGGCTTCGCCAGGGATAAAGAGCGGATCTCCACTGCTGTCCTCAAGTCTATTCCCAAGCGTCCGACCCGAAGCCGTCAATGCCCGGCTGTACGATATTGTTCCTACGATGGCTGCGCCGCAGGCCACGAGTGTAAACGCAGTCGCCATCACGCCCGATCTTAGGTTCTGGATGACAGGAGGCTCCGACGGCTATATCCGAAAGTACGACGGGCCTGGTACCATAAACGGCAAACAACTCCTCACAGTGGCGCAAAGGCACCCCTTTGTCGATAGTGTCGTCAAGGCGGGCATTTTGATGTCATACTGGGAGAATGAGGAGCCAGGACCGCCGAACCCAAGGGGGAACGAGGAACACATCCTATCGCCCGTCTATTCGTTGGCTGTTCACTCGCAGGCGCTATGGCTTCTTTCGGGTCTCGAATCTGGCGGCATCAATCTCCAAAGTGTGAGGCATGACGAAGGAAAGCGCATAACATGCCTGCAACAGCACACTAATGCCGTGAGCGTGTTGACACTGGCACAAGACGAGAAGAGCGTCCTAAGCGGCAGCTGGGACAAGAACATCTTCGACTGGGATCTCAACACTGGCGCTGTCAAACGCTCTTATGACGGCAGCGGAGGTCAAACTTCTGCTATCGAGCTTCGCCCGGTAAATGGTGCACCGATTCCAGCCGAGGCAATGGAGGAAGAAATCAAACCTGATCCGACCTTTACCTCGAATAACAGTAAACCCGCTCAAAACGGCACCCTAGACGATACCAACGGCATTGAAGCTCCGCCTCCTGCGTTGGCTGGCGAGGGCGCTGAGGGACAAGCATCACCCGCACATGAGTCGCTCTTTGGTGGTAGCGATACAGGCTCGCTCTTTGGCGACAACGTGGCAGGCAACTATGGTGGCGATGACGATGATGAATTCTCAAGGGCGATGGGAGATATGGGAATGCCCACTCTTCATGATGGCTCTGGGCAGGACGGCGGTATGGATCACTCTGCTGATATCGATATGACAAATGCCTTTAACGCCGATGCCACCCCGGCGCCGGCGGTCCAGGCACCAGGAAGCAGCAGTCCTGAAGCCTCAAGAAACCAACCTCCAGCACCGGCTCTAGAAGCGACTGCGACAGATGTTCCCCCGGCGCTAGACGGCGCAGGCGATGCTACGGCGGAGCTGCCTGTTCCCGACTTTCCAGAAATCCCTCCTCTACCTGATATGCAGGCAGATGATACAAACCACGGGTCACCCTCCATGATTTTCGCCTCGGATCCTCCTCCACCGGCCATGGACCCAACTCAATCAGCGGACACGGTCTTCTTCTCAGCAGCCATTGATGGCAACATTAGACTCTGGGATCGACGTGTTCAAGACCCCGTCGCCAGGATAGGCAGTCAGCGAGGCGTGCCACCTTGGTGTATGGGTGCCTGCTGGAGTCCGGACGGCAACTGGATCTATGCCGGCAGGCGAAACGGAACAGTAGAGGAGTACAATATCCACAAGGCCAGAAGCGGCTGGGCGCCGGAGAGGACCCTCAAGTTCCCGGCCGGAAGTGGAGCCGTAAGTGCGGTTCGAGCGATGCCGAATGGCCGCCATCTCGTCTGGTAAGCTAACAAACGCCGGCACGCAAATAGGATTGTGAAGCTAACATAAGCACAGTGCTTCTCATGATATTCTCCGTCTGTACGATCTCAAGGACACCCGGGCTTTCAAGCATTCCACCGTCCCCTTCCTGATTATTCCTGGTCCGCCTAGAGCTGGTGTCATTTCGTCACTCTACATCGATCGAACATGCCGCTTCATGATCTCAACTGCTGGAACGCGCGGATGGGAAGGTACAAGCACGGAGGTTCTGATTGGATACGAGATCGGTGTCACCGAAGAAAAGTAGGACCATACACTTTAATTCTTGGTTGGCAGTTGAGACTATTACTATAGGGCAAATCACGTCCTGAAGATGTGAGTCAGAGAGAGAGAGAAAGAGGGAGATGCAGCAACGGAGTTTGGAAATCATATCGACGTGCAATTTGGAGTCTGGCGGTGACCCGTCTTAGAGTCGTAGCGTTTTCAAAGACCTTGAGACTTTCAAGGCCTAATATCAATACCCATCTACGAATGCCCCACGGAGCTCAATAATGTACCATGTGATCCCTCTCAACTCCTGCAATTCTAGGTCCGATAGCTTACCGCCGCCATAATGTAGCTGTAAGCTCGCCACCATGAGCCCGCGGCCTCATTTTCAATAATGTCTGATCGCTAAGGCCGATATCGATCGAAGGGTCACGATCTTGTCACTGATTTCAGATCAGGAAGCTCAGACGGACTGGATTTCATCTCAGACATACGGAATTTAGATGCAAAAGGCAAGCTGTTTGAGGGAAGAGAAGTGGAGTGGTTCTTGTGATAAGACAAGGCCCGGGCCTCGAGGGGCTCATAGAAGAGCAAGGTACGGTCATAGCAGACCGCTTGCATATCGAAGGCCAAGTTGAAATTTGGCATGGGCCTTTCATCAACGGCAGAGTAGTTTAGATACCCGGCGTTGGAAAGAGAAACAGAATCACTTCGACGTCCGCGATATCATGCTAGAAGGACTCTTTATCCTCAAGTCTACTTCATAACCTCCGACCTATCTCATCATAGTTGGACCAAGTCCCCACCAGTGAGATGGTGAACAGGAGATAGGCCAGTGGTCAAATCAAGCTCGGGATGAGGTCTCGGCATCACGTCTCAAGGACTTCCCCGCCAACCTCAAAGCTTACGCAGGGGGTTTACTGCAATAACGGTTGGACCGCTATCTCCAACATCCCACAGCGGCCTAGCGTATGCTGACCACCTCCCCACCTCCCTGATAAGCCCGGAAGGCGGCATGTGCGCCCAGGCGCTTTACCCCAGGTTGGCTCTCGTTTTGGGCCTTGTAGCTTCTGTCAATCTTCAACACACCATACCTAGTCTGAATACCACCCTCTCCCTCCCCCCTTCCCCTGTTGAGCCGGAGATTCTCATATCTCTATAGACCTGCTGACCACTCCCTGCCCTGGATTCGAATCCATTAGTCGATAGAGACTGGCCATTCGGGGCTCACACCGGTCTTTGCCGGGGATGAGGGGTCCCGATACCGTGGTGCCCGCTCAATGAGACGCGAAGCCCGGCCGGGTCATCTGCATTACGGCTGCTACCATTGAGGGGGGAAATAAGATCACCATGTCTCCCCCACACTCACCTTCGTCCGCAACGGCTGCTGCACCACAAGACGAGATCCAACCTCTTTTACGGGGAGTCGATACTTCATCCTATAGCAATAGTTCCGCGATGACGTCCAAAGATGTCGAGACCATTGCCGTGGCGCCAGACGCGAAGCCCGGCGCCGACGACGCTGCCCTGGCCGAGGCCATTCGCCTCGAGCACAACTTGACATTCTCTCAGGCCGTCAAGCTTTACCCTGCTGCTATTGGGTGGTCTGCTTTCGTGTCGGTCGGGGTCATTATGTTGGCGTTCGATCCGCAATTACTCGGGAACCTCTACGCTACACCTGAGTTTCAGAGAGATTTTGGCTATGAATATGAAGGTTCCGTAAGTTGTTGCCTCCTCTTAGACGCGAACCCTATGCTGACGTGCTACAGTATATCATTAGTATGTCTTGCACTTGACTTCCTGTGCTGGTGCACCTAACTTATTAACATGTGTTCAGCTGCTGCTTGGCAGACCGGACTTTCCATGGGCAATCCCGTCGGTCAAGTTGTTGGCGCCCTCTTTGCTGCATACCCCATGGACTGGTACGGCCGAAAATTGACCTTTGCCGTGTGCGTGGTCCTCACTGCGGGCATCGTCTTCATCCAATTCTTCGCACGCTCATTGCCCGTCCTCCTAGTAGGCGAGCTTCTCGGTGGTCTCGTCTTGGGCATGTATGTTGTCATCGCTCCGGCATACGCCTCCGAAGTTTGCCCCACTGCTATCCGTGGCCACTTGACGTCCTACGTGAATCTCTGCTTCGTCATGGGTCAGCTCCTTGCCAACGGCGTCACAGCGGGAACTTCAAAGCTTGATACTCATTGGGCCTATTCTTTGCCCTTTGCGCTCCAATGGTTTTGGATCCTTTTCATTCTCCCCGGTCTGCTCTTCGTCCCAGAAAGTCCTTGGTGGCTGGTAAGGAGGGGTAAAATGGACGATGCAAGGAAGAGTTTAGGTCGTCTGGCTTCCAAACAGGTCAATATAGACGCTTCGTTGGCCTTCATCGTGGAAACCGACAAACTTGAGCAAGAGCTGGAAGCCGGAAGCACGTATTCAGATTGCTTGAAGGGTGCCAACTTAAGGAGGACGGAAATATCTGTTGGTGTTTATTGCACTCAAGTCCTCAGCGGTATCTATCTCATCAACTACGGGACGTACTTCTTCCAGCAGGCTGGCCTGCCTACTGACAAGGCATTCGATATGGCCATTGGCTTCCTTGGTAAACAGCTTACCCTTTATATCCACCTCAAGATCATGAGCCTTGACTAACTTCCTTAGCCGTTGGATTCCTGGGCACTGTTATCTCCTGGTACTTCTTGATTCACTACGGCAGACGAACCATTTACATTACCGGCCTCGCCGCCCTGGTGTTCCTTCAGCTCCTCATCGGCATCCTTGACTGCGTTCCCGGGCGTCCTTCTGGCGTGGCCTGGGCAGAGTCATCACTCATGCTCATTTGGAACTTCGCCTACGACCTGTCCGTTGGTCCCGTATGCTTCGTCCTCATATCAGAAGCCTCGGCCACCAGAGTGCGATCCAAGACCATCGCGCTCGCCACAGCTGCCCAGGGTGTCTTGGGGATCATTATGACCGTGGCGATCCCATACATGATTAACCCAGACGAGGCCAACATGCAGGGGAAGCTTGGCTTCTTCTTCGGAGGGCTGGCTGGGCTGTGCTTCATCTGGGCCTGGTTCCGCGTTCCCGAGACAATGGGCCGCACGTACGAAGAGTTGGATATTCTGTTCGACAGACGAGTTCCTGCGCGTGATTTTAAGGGTTATGTGGTTGACGGTATGACTTCTACCGATCACTAAGGCGCGCAGTACTCCTAATACGGCTTTACTGTGGGGCGCGTTCGCCGCAGCTGGCACTATAACGATACCATTTGGAACTTGGATATTTTTGAACGTATGTTACAAATCCAATCGGCTTCAGCTTAAGCCCTTCTCGTTGGTCCTGACCTTGTTCTGCACAGAGTTGAAGAAGCCGCCAGACTGGCTGGCATGCATGACAGTCGGCCAATTGTCTGAGCAGCTGGAATTATGTGGTATATTTAACTCGTCTTTATCAAACTCTCTTGACACTCTTCGGGCACTTGAGAGTTAGGATCCTCCGGTCGCTGACGTTATATATTCCACCTGCGACTACACGTGTCTTGGTAGTGTTTAGATGACGATATGCCATGAGTTCTCCGTGACTAATTTAGAGACCTCCGTAGCCTTTCCAAAAGCTTCCGCAAATTAGAATCAGAGGGTAGTGCCCAAAAGTCTTACTATGCTGTTCTTGACTAAAGGCAGTTGCCCCCCCCCCCCCCGGACGACGCCCGTCAGGAAACGGCGACGCCAACAATCCCGTCAGATATCCTACATATCTGCCCTGAAGGTGAGAAGGTGTATAAAACCTCAATGACCGCAAACACTGGGATGCTAAATTTGTATGTACCTCGGTGTAGGAAGGTGTGAATTGGTTCACTGATAGTACATTGTGTTCAGGCATCTCAACACTCTTCACTCTCACCATCTGATCCCATTCACAAATACCACAGGCGTCGGCGCCACATCCTACCTCAACAAGAAGCACACGCGTCCCGGAACCTCGCCAACATGGCTACCGAAAGCGCCCGTACGCTCTTCTTCCCGGCACCGGACCCGCCAACACCACTCGCCCGCTACCGCATCCTCTCCCCCAACGCCGCGATCCGCGTCTCCCCCCTTCAGATGGGCACCATGTCCCTGGGGACGGCCTGGTCAGACGCCATGGGCCCCGTCGAGAAGAATGCCGCCTTCAGCCTGCTAGACGCCTACCTCGACGCCGGCGGCAACTTCTTTGACTGCTCCAACGGCTACCAGCACGAGCAGTCCGAGTCCTGGCTCGGCGAGTGGATGGAGGTCCGCGGCGTCCGGGACCGCTGCGTCGTCGCGACAAAGTTCTCGGCCGACTACCGCATGCACGCGCTCGGCAAAGGCCGCTGCCCGAACGCGGGCGGGAACTCGCGCGCCTCGATGCACATGTCCCTCCGCGACTCGCTGGCCAAGCTACGCACCGATTGGATCGACGTCTTTTACGTCCAGTGGTGGGACTACACGGCTTCCGTCGAGGAGGTCATGGACGCGCTGCACAACCTCGTCCAGCAGGGCAAAGTTCACTACCTCGGCATAGCAAACTGCCCGGCCTGGGTCGTCAGCGCGGCCAACACGTACGCGCGCGCGCATGGCAAGACGCCTTTTTCCATCTATCAGGGCTACTACAGCGTCATCATGCGCGACATGGAGCGGGACATCATTCCTATGGCGCGGCAGTTCGGCATGGCCATCGCGCCCTACGGCGCGGCGGGCATGGGCAAGTTCAAGACGCGGGACATGATCGAGGCGCGGCGGCGGAGCGGCGATGGGCAGGCGGCGTTCCGGCACCTGGCGGACCAGACGGAGACGGAGATGCGGGTGAGCAAGGTGCTGGCCGAGGTGGCGGAGGAGGTGGGCGTAACGTCCATCACGGCCGTGGCGCTGGCTTACGTCATGGCAAAAGTACCGTACGTGTTCCCCGTCGTCGGGGGCCGCAAGGTCGAGCAGATGCTGGACAATATCGACGCGCTCACGATCCAGCTCTCAGAGGCGCAGATTGCGTACCTCGAGAGCGTGGAGAAGTGGGAGCCTGGGTGGCCATACGATGTTATGGGGTGGGATCCTCACGTGTCGGGGACGCCGGCTCCCATCATTGCTGCTTCGGCCAAAATGGACTTTGTGAGGCGGCCCAAGGCGATTGGATATGATTGATGGAGAGATGTCTGTGTTTTTTGTTTTTTTTCCTTCTTGGTTCTAGGCGCGGGTATTGGGGCTTCTTCTTCGGGGGTTAGAAGGCGTTCCGTTCTGACTCCGTCCCTTGACGGAGGTTTGGGGGTGACGTAGGAATGTGGTAGAAAAGGCACGCCTACAATAATGAAGCACCAAGATATTGTTGTACCCCCTCATTACCGAGTTCAAACACATAGCCTTATTAGAAGACCGCATGATATGCAAGGTTGAAGAGGATACTGACGACTTACATTACATTAGTGGTATGTTGTTAGCCTTGGACAAGACGTATGCTAGAAAGATGAGCCACGAATATAAAATGCACCAAACATCCTCAAGTGAAATATAAGAGCCACTATCAGGCAACTCGCGATTCGCACAAATTCTGATTGATTCGTCAAATACCTATGGTAAGGCTCGATCTCACTGGCCAAGCTAATCCTCAATTGACAGGTCTTGCACCATCATTATATACTATACCTTACCTACTGCACACCCGTACGTATTAGCGCGATCCAGACCACCTTAATGTGCAGTGGCTTCCCCCAAGGTCTCAGATTGCCGAAATAAACTAACCAATGGAGAACACAACCGTTGAGAACGACTCACCTCTATCACACGTTCCCGGATGGTTCTCAGGGGCGGCGGTGGCAACGGCCACGGCAACGCCAACGACTTCGCCACCGCCATCACCACTTCCACCTCCACCACCAACCGTCTCAAAGACCCCACGCGGCGTCCAAGGATCGTCGGCGTCGCCCTGGCCCAGCCAGCGCCGAAGGGAGTACCCATTGCGGGCCGGGCCCGTGCCCGAGACCGCGGATGCGTCTGCGGCTGCGGCTGAGCGTGCTTCGGCCCGTTTGTTGACTACAGTCGCTGCCGTTGGCCTTGTCGCCGAGAGTTTGGGGACCTTGGCCATGATGCCAAAGCACTCTTGAGCTTTACAAAAGCTGCGACCCCGTTCAGCAGGTTTCCCCCTAAAACGAGAGCCTCTCTAAACCCCATCGCACACCCTTTACTCCCCCTCCCTTACGTTCTCATTATCTCTATGAAAAGAAGCGAACAAATGACGGAGCCCGGTCCTCTGGATGACTTACCTCAAGGTGTTTTCCGGAGTGCGCTCACGGATCGCAAATGTTGTTGTCAAGGTTGCTACGGATTGGCAAGCATTGCTTGCCTGGAGAAAGCTTGGGAATAGCCCATTAGAATGAGCGATAGTCTTGGAGGGCTGGTAAACCGCCAAAGTCGAGTAAAGAATCTGTCAATGTCAAGACTGCCGTCCAGGAATGACACTCGTCCAAACTGGGCCCTTTAAGTAGCAACCACGAAGTAATCCATCCGTGGACATAGGCGCTCACACACTAATTTCCAACCTCATGCCGCTTCCCGGAGAGGCGCCATGGGTCGCTTGGTTTTTGTAACCGGACAAGTTGACCCGGCATTCTGTGTCAACGACAAACGACTTCTGTCAGGTCGTACGGGTTCCAAATAGTTTGACGTGCGCTGCAGCTTCCCACCGGGCTAGAGTTGATAGGACCGACTCCCATATGACAGCGAAAAGCGATGGCGAAAAGAGTGTTTGCTCCTTACCGAAGTCAACTAGCCATCATCCATGCCAAGTGCGGAGCAAAGGTTCTGCATGATCTGATGTCGAGGTATAATACGCAACGAGCGAGAACCCGCCCCGGATACTGTTGCTGCGAGGTGATCACTTTGCAGTTCGCCTCAACCAGCATTAGTGAATGGCTAGTCGCAGGTCGAAGACCTAACTCATATTTGTTGCCAGTACGAATATGCCCGGCGCTATTTGTCTCTTAGCGCAGCGCGCTACTTCTAATCAGTCACTGAGGTGGATGGCACAAGAATGGAGGGAGGTGGATGCCAGCCAGGGTTGCGATGCAATGAGCTTGATTTGATTCTATCCATCGCATTTTGACATTCGCCATCAGCCGTAATGGAACACCTCTTTCGTGAGCGACGCCTTCCTCCTCTTTTTGGCCATCCCTTTGCCAATTCGTGTTCCCATCCAATACCTGGTCCGTTCCGTTTTCGCCCGAATCCGTGGCCTAAGGAAATGTTGATTCGAAGTTGTTCGAGTTTGGTCCCCCACAAGGTGATTACCATTATATACTATATTGTTTCGCCAGCGGGCATCGCTAGCTGCAATACATGTGACATGTTACAAAGGAAAATGACTTTTAACTGTTTCGGAAGAAAATTGAAAGTGTTCATGGCCCTACAGGGGCATTGTAATATTGTACAGGCACCAGCGGCCAATCTGTTGTCATTGGCGTGGGTTGTGGTGCATTTTCGTCTACGACTGTGCTGGAGAAACTCTCCCAGTCTTCAAACGTGACCATGTTTTCAGGCATAAATTGGAAGTTCATCGGTTGGTTTTCTTGTGGTGGCGGCGGAAGCTCCCTGTCCAACGATGCACGGCGAAGAGGTTCTGTGTGCGCGCGCGGCTGTTGGGCGTGGAATAAAGGCTGCGGCATCATTGACTGAGCCCTCATCTGTTCCATGTACGGTGAGGGTGATGAATCCTGTGATGCTAATACTGGAGGTTGAGGGGACTGAGTTGGTAGAGTCTGGGAGGGTATCGATGGAGGAGGGAGGAGAGGCTGAGGGGGGTACTGTTGAGGAAGAGCAGCAGGAGGTGCGTAGCATTGAGAATACTGCATTGGCGGCGAGGCCGGAACGGGAAGGTAAACGAGATCCGCCAGCTTGTAGGCAATCAAGACGATAGACTCGGCCTCGGAGCTGGACCCAGAGAAGAATTCGAGCAGATCTTGAAGCTGGCCTGGGCTCTCATTCTCCATGAAACCCTGCGCTCGACCAGTCTGTGTAGGATTCCAGCTGAAGTTCGGCTGACGCCCCTGGAACTCATTGGCCTTGGACATGAGTACATCTTTCCAAGCCTCGTGGATCAGAGGCTGATGCAGGAGACCGTAGATAACTCTTGAGTGCATCCAATCCGACTTTGTCTTTCCTGATTCGAAGTGTCTGGCGACGTGCTCGACGTGACGTTCCCTCGAAGGGTGCAGGGCTGAGCAGAAGCCACAGGCCCAGTACTTTCTCCTCTTCAAGTACTTGACAACCTTTTCAGAGTGCGGGCAAGACTTGCAGCCGTGCGAAGCCTTGTGGTGCTGGTTGAAGGTGTTGGCTCCCCAGAAGCTCCTGTTGCAGCCAGGCTCGGGGCAAGGGTACTTCTTCCAACGCTCATGGAACTCCTCCTCGTGACGCTTCCAGTCGTACTTGCGCTTAAATCTCGTTTCGCATGAGGTACACCAGTAAAAGTTGAAGCGCCCTGGACCCCATCCTGTCTGAGCGCTTGCAACCTGGGGGACGCCTCCAGGAGCTGCTTGAGGCGCGCATTGCTGAGTGGAAGGGGTCTGCGAAGCTTGAGAGTAATGTGTCGCGACAGTGGCGTTGGAGGCAGCGGAGCCCATGGACCAAATACTCGCATGGCCAGAAGAGCCCGAGCTTGTTGATGATACGGAGATGCGTGGTCTATGACCTATTTGGCCATGGCATATCGCTGAACGAACAAGAGGGAAGTTAGCAGGGGTGTCCTGTTTCCCATAGGGACCAGATTGTTTGGGGGCAGTGAAACAAACCTCGTGTAGAAGCATCCTCCATTGCGACATCCTGTGGTGCATGTTGTTGTTGTTGTTGTTGTTGTTGTTGGTGCTGCTGTTGTTGTTGGTGCTGAAGCTGAAGCTGAAGCTGCTGCTGCTGTTGCTGTGCCGCCTTGTCGCCAGCCTCCCACATCTGCAACAATGCTTCACGGGAAACACCAGAGCTCTTCAGAGCTTCTAGAGTTCGCCTAGCATCCGCCAGCACATCGGCTGCGGCATCCTGCATGGGGTGATCCATCTCGACGGCTATCCGCTCTCCACCCTCGCTCGATTTGGTCGGACTGGGAGCTTCGCCGGCGTTCTCGGGTCGGGCGTTGAATACTGAAGTTCGACGGAGCAAGCCTTTTTTTGAAAGGATTCGTCGCGAAGGCAAGGACGAACGTATACGAAGGGGTTTGTATCGACGTCGGTAGTTGCAGCTGCTATGGTAGGTTGCGGTAGAGAAGTTGCTGCGTAGTAAATTGTTGAATGGCGTAGAGGTAAGAGCCAGAGGCGGAAGCTAATCAGATGAGGTGCAGGGCGAGCCTGGGTTAATGATGTGAGAAGCAAAATGATAATAAAAAAAATCAAGGTCGAGAGAAAAAGGTTGGTCCAAAGTTGGTGAGGTGTCTCTCGGAGATATAACAATAGGAAACGAGTGTGGGTGTGGATTAAAGTGTGTTGTGGTTGGCGTGTAATGAGGTCGGAAAGGTGAATTGAGGTGAGATGAGAGGTAGGTGCGGGAGGTGCGAGGTTAAGATCAGATTCCGGACGGGAAAAGAAGTTGGTGTTGGAGTTCGGACGCTTTGGTGGGAAGCGAGAGGAGGCGGAGGAGCCAGGAAGGAGGGGAGGCGTGTGCTTTAGGATCCCAGAGAGTCCACACTGGCACACAGAGCCAGCGCCAGAGAGGAGCAAGAGCAGGAGCAAGAGCAAGTATCAGAGCCAAAGCCCAGCACGGAAGCTTGGGCGAGTTAGTCAGGGACCTAGCGCGGAGAGATGGAGCGAGAGGGAAGAGCTAAGGGGTCGGGTACCTTGGAGGAGAAGAAAACGGACAAGAAGAAGAAGGAGGAGGCGTGGGTTTGGAGAAGTGTGAGGCGTGCGGAGAGTGAGCAACGAGGTTGCTGCTAGGAACGAGGCGCGAGGAAAAGCGGGAAGGGGGGGAGGGAGGAGCGATGAGATGGAAACAGAGGGAGGGAAACGAATTGGAAGAATTTAAAAAAAAAAAAAAAAACAAAAAAAAAAACGCCAGGTGCAAGCTAGGGTCGTGGGAGTTTGAGTAAGGTAGGAGTGTAGGTGAGGAAGGCACTGCCCGTACTTTGTTTACAGAGTAAGGTACCTAAGGTACGGAGTACGTACATACGTACAGCAGTCGGATCCCATAATCCTTGCTCGTACGTTGCGTATTGATTCTTGTGCGCTTCTTGTTCTTCTCTTGCTGCCCTGTTCGATCTGTACAGTCACTCACTACTCACTACACCCTCCCCTGCTTCCTGCTGAGGATACCTCGCCTCACCTTACGAATACATCCCCCAAGCTGAGTGTACCTTATGTAATGTTCCAGGACCCAACCGAGTTGGCGATTGGAACGGGATCTGGCTCATCCATCTACCTTATCTTGTTCGATGGTAGCTAGCCGGGTTGGGGATTGGGTAGTCCCATTGGCCGTATACGGCTGCAAAACACCAAAGATGAGGGTATCGGTAAGACAGGAGATAGCAAGAGGAAGACAAATGCGAAGAGAGAGAAAGATTCGCTAAGTAAGGTGGAGTGGGCTACGTGCCATGTTTTCGAGCCGGGTTGTGTGCGTGCGTTTTGCGTGTGCGCTTCCAATGTCTGTGAAGTGCGAAGCCGCTCTCTGCATATGCAGGCAGACAGACACACTACATGATGGAAAGGCAGTCTGAACTTTGAAGTCACTGTTGCAGTGCTGCTTGGAATTGGGTGCCCCCAATGGCACTTGTCAATCCCGTCCGATGTTTGAGCCCCAGAAAGCCCATGCGGCACAGAGATGATGACAGCAAGCAATACTTTGTACGTAGAAGACGCAGAGAAAAGAACAGAGATTTTCCTATCCCCTGTTGGCTTCCTGGCCCCGGTGCGCGTCCCTCGTTCGCATCTTCATTCGGGGGCCCTTGCTATGCAGAGGGTACTCCGAGATACTCCGTAATGAAAAATGGTACAGAGACGCCGCCCCCGTATGAGAAGTATGTTCCGGCCTGACCGGTCCGTTCGTAGAGCACAATACCCGCTGGCTGTGCCCGCTGGCAGCTCCAACGGGCATGTTTCACTCCTTCTGGACGAC